CTTTATTGCGGGGTCATCCTGGATCTGTAATAGGATGTGCCCGACAACTGCATTGAGAGGAGTGAAGGGTTGTCGATCTCTTTGGGGAGCAGGACCGAGCCGGTCTTTGGAAGTTACTTTCTCCATCCTGCTACGCTTGTTATTATTCTCCCTCTTGTCGTCCCTCNGCCCGACAATTGCATTGAGAGGAGTGAAGGGTTGTCGATCTCTTTGGGGAGCAGGACCGAGCCGGTCTTTGGAAGTTACTTTCTCCATCCTGCTATGCTTGTTATTATTCTCCCTCTTGTCTCTTGTCACCTATGTGTTCTTGGAGGATTTCAAAAAGAGCTCTCCTTTCTCACTCAAGATTATATAGAATGAGGCTCTTCAAAAAAAAAATGAAAGAGGAAGTTTTCATAGCTAAAAGAGTCCCACAAGAAAAAGGAGTCTACTGGAAGGGAGAGAGTCGACAATCAAAAAGAGTCTTCAAAAAAATCGGATTTAAAAAGGGCTGCACGCTATTTTGACCGTAACTCTTGATCTAAAACTCAAAATGGGACTTACTATATACCAAATCGAAGCTCTCGACGAGCTGAGCAAAACTCATTACAATTAGTAATGAGTTTTTCCANAAGTTTTCATAGCTAAAAGAGTCCCACAAGAAAAAGGAGTCTACTGGAAGGGAGAGAGTCGACAATCAAAAAGAGTCTTCAAAAAAATCAGATTTAAAAAGGGTTACACGCTATTTTGACCGTAACTCTTGATCTAAAACTCAAAATGGGACTTACTATATACCAAATCGAAGCTCTCAACGAGCTGAGCAAAACTCATTACAATTAGTAATGAGTTTTTCCAAAAAAAAGTCCAAAAAAGGCTTAGAAACAGCTGTTTTGACCTCCCAAAGTTTAAAAAAAAAAAAAATTCTGCTCGCCCAGAACAGTGCTGCTCACCCGAAAGGTGCTTGCTCGCCTAGCGTTCTGCTCAAAGTTTTGACCGTAATTTTTGCTCTGTTACTCGAAGTAAGGCTCATAATATATCAAATCGAAGCTCTCGGCGAGCCCTACAAAACTCAAAGTCTTTGGCTGTGANAAAAAAAAAAAAAAATTCTGCTCGCCCAGAACAGTGCTGCTCACCCGAAAGGTGCTTGCTCGCCTAACCCTCTGCTCAAAGTTTTGACCGTAATTTTTGCTCTGTTACTCGAAGTAAGGCTCATAATATATCAAATCGAAGCTCTCGGCAAGCCCTACAAAACTCAAAGTCTTTGGCTGTGATTGATGCTATTGAAAGCTCAAAAAAGGCCTAAAAACACATGTTCAGGACTCCCAAAGTTTTTCTATTTATGCCAGTCAATCGAAAACTCAAAATTCGACCTGAATGTCCTCCTTTCCAAGTTCCGTCATGCAGGGTATTGGGGGGCAAATAATGGACCAGACCCAAATGGCTCAATCCATGGGTAAAGCTCAAGTCTATAGAAGACCTAACAGGCCCTATGAGGGCCAAGACTAGTCAAGACCATCAGAGAGCTACACCACCAAGGGAGCATTCAGGAGCCTCACCCTCGCAGCCTAGAAAGAGTCAACCTCCCTCATCCTTGACCAAGTCCTTTGGAGAGCACCATAACTTCCTCGTCTGTTGAGGAGAGGAAAGGTCGCCAAAGNCTGAATGCCCTCCTTTCCAAGTTCCGTCATGTAGGGTATTGGGGGGCAAATAATGGATCAGACCCAAATGGCTCAATCCATGGGTAAAGCTCAAGCCTATAGAAGACCTAACAGGCCCTATGAGGGCCAAGACCAGTCAAGACCATCAGAGAGCTACACCATCAAGGGAGCATTCAGGAGCCTCACCCTCGCAGCCTAGAAAGAGTCAACATCCCTCATCCTTGACCAAGTCCTTTGGAGAGCACCATAACTTCCTCGTCTGTTGAGGAGAGGAAAGGTCGCCAAAGTTGAAGAGAGGAGAAGTCGCGAAGATATTTGATTACTATTAAATGGCCCCAATTATGACCGTTAGACTAGCAATTCAATTACTATACCAAGCCACTGTAAAATGTAAGTTTTTCAACACTTGGGGGGCATCTGACTCAATACAGCATAATTCTCTCCTCCCATCTCAAAGCTTATAATCATGTATTCTCCCTCCACACCGGAGATAATATAATATCCCGGCGAACCTAGCCATTAAAAGTGGACGTTGGTCATATTGACCGAATCATTATAAATCTTGCCTTCTGTCTCCCTCTATTTACTGTATTTTATACTAAATACTTGATAGGTAGCGCACAAACAATTTTGTACNATGTGTTCTCCCTCCACACCGGAGATAATATAATATCCCGGCGAACCTAGCCATTAAAAGTGGACGTTGGTCATATTGACCGAACCATTATAAATCGTGCCTTCTGTCTCCCTCTACTTACTGTATTTTATACTAAATACTTGATAGGTAGCGCACAAACAATTTTGTGCATCATCAAAAGCGAAATTCAATCCACTCAAAAGTGTGGAGATTAGGTCATCATCATCAACAAATTTTCCAGCAAAAGCAAGTTGATCAACTACACCTTTAGCATAAGCAAGGTATTCAGAACAAGACAGATTTTCCTGATGCAACCTGCAGAGTTGGTGTTGAAGAAGATTAATCCGCGAATGGGATTGAGAAACAAAACAAGCAGATAGCGAATCCCAAGCTTGCTTGGCAGTAGAGAGACCATACACAGTTGACAAAACTTTAGGAGATAAGGTAGCATTGCTCCAAGAAAGAACAAAACTGAAATTTCTTGTTCCACATTAAGTATTGGGGGTTGACATCACCAATGGTTGTCAGCCGCTGGAGGAAGACGCTGATCAGGGCATGGTTGAGAACCATCAATGAGGCTCATAAGCTCATTCGACTTGAAAAAGAGAACCAATTGGGACAACCATTTAAGGTAGTTTTTGCCTTCCAGCTTGACTGAGATAAGTTGACCGTATTGGGAGCGACAAAGGTAGATGCAGAAACAATCTTAGAGGAAGAAGAAGCCATTTGAGAAACGATCGAGGAAAAAATGGGGCTTGAGCTTTAATGCTCTAATACCATGTAAATGTAAAAATGCTTATGAAAGTTTTGGTTCACTCTCCAAAACTTCGTGTTATTGACTGCTATATATAAGAATACATGAATCAATACAGATGAGAAAAATAAAAATGTGATTGTATCTCTTATAATATCTCAACAGAATTTGTAGAGAGTTGGATTTAGTCATGTGTATCAGATGGAGGGAAATGAGGAGATTGAGAATCATTTGAACGATCAAGTTTGTTGGATGATTNGGAGATTAGGTCATCATCATCAACAAATTTTCCAGCAAAAGCAAGTTGATCAACTAGACCTTTAGCATAAGCAAGGTATTCAGAACAAGACCGATTTTCCTGATGCAACCTGCAGAGTTGGTGTTGAAGAAGATTAATCCGCGAATGGGATTGAGAAACAAAACGANGGAGATTAGGTCATCATCATCAACAAATTTTCCAGCAAAAGCAAGTTGATCAACTACACCTTTAGCATAAGCAAGGTATTCAGAACAAGACAGATTTTCCTGATGCAACCTGCAGAGTTGGTGTTGAAGAAGATTAATCCGCGAATGGGATTGAGAAACAAAACAAGCAGATAGCGAATCCCAAGCTTGCTTGGCAGTAGAGAGACCATACACAGTTGACAAAACTTTAGGAGATAAGGTAGCATTGCTCCAAGAAAGAACAAAACTGAAATTTCTTGTTCCACATTAAGTATTGGGGGTTGACATCACCAATGGTTGTCAGCCGCTGGAGGAAGACGCTGATCAGGGCATGGTTGAGAACCATCAATGAGGCTCATAAGCTCATTCGACTTGAAAAAGAGAACCAATTGGGACAACCATTTAAGGTAGTTTTTGCCTTCCAGCTTGACTGAGATAAGTTGACCGTATTGGGAGCGACAAAGGTAGATGCAGAAACAATCTTAGAGGAAGAAGAAGCCATTTGAGAAACGATCGAGGAAAAAATGGGGCTTGAGCTTTAATGCTCTAATACCATGTAAATGTAAAAATGCTTATGAAAGTTTTGGTTCACTCTCCAAAACTTCGTGTTATTGACTGCTATATATAAGAATACATGAATCAATACAGATGAGAAAAATAAAAATGTGATTGTATCTCTTATAATATCTCAACAGAATTTGTAGAGAGTTGGATTTAGTCATGTGTATCAGATGGAGGGAAATGAGAAAAATTAAGAATCATTTGAACAATCAAGTTTGTTGGATGATTGATACTTTGATCAACCCACTTTTCCCTAGTTGCAAACTTGAATGCGACATCAAGGACCCTGTTTGTGTTGGCTTTGTGGGTTTGGGTGGGATTTCGAGAGTGGTATTTGACACAGTACTCTAATGAATCTTAAATATTTTGTTTGGTTGGAGATGTTAGATTTGACATTTAGAGACTCTCTTGTCCGATGCACACATGCTACAATTGATTGTCAACTCTATATTAGAAAAGAATTACGGTTATGATTGATTTAGTATCAACTCGTGGGTCCTATATTGTGGTTAGGTCATATACCAAATAAGGGGTGGGATGGGAGAGACCAAGTGAATCCAATGAACAAATTCAACCGAGTGAATTTGAAGTGATACAAAATTGTAATCCAGTTCTTCCCCTTGCCAATGTCACCATTCAAAATTGTAATCCAATCCTTCCCCTCGCCAATGCCACCATTCAAATATGACCCAAACCAAGGATGTTAATTTTATATATTAACACACCACACCGTCATACAAATTCAAACGCCCAAAACTTGATCCTGGCAATGTAGATGAGATCATTAATTAGCCCAAAACTTAGTGGAGGGCAAACAAATTGATTCCCGCCAAATTCAAACGCCAAAACTCAGTTTTATTCTTCCCGGGTTATCTTCCCACCTCCAGTTTTCTTATTCAAAACTTACCAACTTTCCTATACATTCCGAAAACATTCAATCTCTCTCTCTCTCTCAAAAGATACAGAAATGGAGAACAACTTTCATGGGTTGCCTCCCCACAAAAGATTCAAGCTAATGTATCAAGAGGGAGGTAAACACCAAGAGAAGCAAGACAATGTCACGTCTTCTCTCTGTCTTCCGGTGAAAAAACGAAAAGCATCCCTAGATCCACCACTTCTGCCGCCCAATTCCACCGCCGCCACTTACTGCTTACCTGCCAAGAAGAGGGTTTGGGCTCTTCAACCCAACCTCATACCCAACGAATCCATTTCGCCTTTCGACCTAAATGTCGAATACAATCCATTTTTTTATGAAGAAAGTGAAACAGCACCACAAGAACCAAAGAATGTTCCGATTTGGAATAAAATTGGTGAGATTCGAGTTAATGAACACAGCAACGAAGCTGATAGAGTTGACGATGAAGAAGGTGACGACGATGGAATTGTATGTGCTATATGTCAAAGCACAGATGGAGACCCATCAGATCCAATTGTGTTCTGTGACGGTTGTGACCTAATGGTTCACACCACCTGTTATGGTCACCCCCTTATAGAGGGTGTCCCAGAAGGGGATTGGTTCTGTACCCAATGCTTGGCTTCCCAATCACCCAAATCAAAGGACTTTTCTTGCTCTCTATGCCCAGTCGCTGGTGGTGCACTGAAGCCCACAAATGATGGCCAGTGGGCTCATATTGTTTGTGCCCTTTTTGTTCCTGAGGTCTTTTTCAGTGACCCTGAAGGCAGAGAAGGCATTGATTTTACTAAGGTTCATCCATGGAGGTGGGAACAGAGTTGCTATGTTTGTGACTCTGCAAGTGGGTGTGTTCTTGATTGTTCTGAGCCAAAGTGCCCTTTGTCCTTTCATATCACATGTGGGTTAAGAGAAAATCTTTGTATTGAGTACACAGAAGGGAGGAATAAGGGGGCTATTGTTGCTGGGTTCTGCAAAAGCCACACTGATCTATGGAAGAAGGTACATTTCTTCGATTAATTAATGGTTTGTTGTTCTATTTTTAAAGATTGTATGTGTGGAGAAAAAGGGGTTGATGTTGGTGTTGTTCTTTTTGCAGCAACAACAAACAGGCAAGTTCAAGATTGTGGCCAGAGACAAGCATAAGAAATAGCAAGAATTTTGGGCTTACAAAGTTTTATGACTCTAGGAAATTGAGAATTGGGATCTCATGATCTTTTGCGTTGTCATGAATTTGGTCTCTGTAGTTTTGGTACTGTAGATTATGTTAGTCGAAAATTTGATTACTCTCTCTTTTTTATCCTTAAATAATAGTTTTGGTGCCATTCACAATATGGGTTTTGTACTTTTCTTTGTTCATTATTGGTTGCAAATGGTGTAATCATGCCATTGAGATTGCATTTCCACAAAAACTCACATAAGGGGATAAATTAGTTACTCAAAATTATAAATGAAGGGTGAAAAATGTAAGACTTTATCAGAAATGCAAGACCCAATTCTTAAAGACTGGACCATGATGCAACCTTATAAATTTGTGCTTGTGTAATCACCTAATTTCAGCTCAGTACTAAGCTGTTACTAGAGAGACTTCTTTGATGACAACTGGGTTTGGTGGTTTTTGTTGTGTACATGTGGCTTTTTTTACTTTCTGGATTGTTTATGTTGAAATGTCAAAATATATATCAGAAATTGGTGAGCCTGGCTTGAGAAGAGATGGCCTTTAGGGATTTAATTGAGGCCTGGAATCAGTACAATGAGGTTGGTGAAGAAGCTCCCAACAGGAGGAATCCCAGTGAAGTAGATTGTTTTGATGTTGATAATTCTATCACACAGTGAGTTCTTGCTTGTTTTCTGTTATTGTTGTGGTCTTATGGGCATTGGCTCAGCGTGACAACTGATTACAAGAGATTTGGTTAAACCCAAGCCAGTCAATCAGCAAGACACTAACCCATATTTCGGCTTCTAATCTGCTTATCAGGAATATTATGTCAATTATTTGAACCCATTAAGAGCAATTCCAAGGGGGAGTGGCAACCCTTAATACCACCCTCAAATTCAAAATTCTCTACTTCAAGGGGGATAGCATCAAGGGTTAGAAAATGGCGTCAAGGCTCTTAGCAACAACGATCTTAGCAAATATTTCTTTTGTTTTATCAATTTGAAAAATATATGAAATTGTTCAGTCAATAGTTCAAATATTAAATTATAATAGTGTCTATTTAAAAAAATTCAATAATTAAATTATCTTACTCGGGGTGTTCACTTTGTCGTAGTCTTTTAATTTGATTAAAAAAATTGACAAATTTGTCGTATTTTGCATTTATATCAATCCAACGGCTTTTAATAGAAGCTTACGAATTCTCTTCTTGATTGTCTCGATGAAATTCTAAGTATTTCAATATTTTATGTCAAAAGTATCACCTTGTTGTTTATTCCCAGTAATTGTATCTTTATTTGTGTTAAGTCACGCAAACACAATTAATTTATTTTCTTTTAGAGAAAAGTTTTTTGTCCTTTGCGATTTTTTCACTCTTGGAGCGGCTTCACTTTGTACTGGCGTCAATACTATGAGATTGGTTTGTATAACATCATCGTATAAATCGGTGTCGTTCATAAACAAATCAGTGAAAGAACCATTAAATTGTAAATCCATCTACAAAAAAAATAATTATAATCAATTTAAAGGTAAGATAAAATAATCAATACAACAAAATTTAATGGTGTAATATGACAATACAAAAAAAATTAATGGTGTAATTTGCCCTAAAATTAAGTATTATTTGCACTAAAATTGAGAATACAAAAAACTTTTAGGGTACAACGNATACAACAAAATTTAATGGTGTAATATGACAATACAAAAAAAATTAATGGTGTAATATGATAATACAAAAAAATTAATGGTGTAATTTGCCCTAAAATTAAGTATTATTTGCACTAAAATTGAGAATACAAAAAACTTTTAGGGTACAAGGTATTATTTGCCCTAAAATAAATAGTAGCAAGAACGATCAAAGGGAACCCTTCCCCTTCCCCTTCCCCTAAACCCTACAGAAGTTACAACATATACCCAGTAAACACCAACGATTTTTAGAGAAGTAATTTTTAGGCAAGCGAGGGATTTTCAGGCAAGCCTCTCTCGATTTTCAGCAGTAGACACCAACGGATTTTTAGGCAAGCCTCCTTCCCCTTTCTTTCTCTCTGTAATTTTATAGATTTTTTGGGTCAAATATAATCGTTGAGAGGGAATAGTAGACACCAACGACTATTTTGCAACCTCCACTTTCTCTTTCCAGAGTTTGCAAATTGGCCATCCCAAGTGAAATTTGCAACCCTAAATGCCTTGAAGTGAAATTTTTTGATTTGGGGTGACATTTTGGTAGTTAGGGGTTTGCCACCCCTAATGGCACTCCTCTTTGGAATTACTCTTAGGGTGGCAGTTTTGGCAACTCTGGAGAGAGAAAAAAAGAGGTTACAAATAGGTTTATGAATATAGATCTGTTAAATTGTTGAATGATCAAACGATAAATATAACTCTAACGATTCATATAGATTGATAAATGAAAATATGAAAATGACACCCCATTTTAGCACCTGCCATTGGAACAAATTTATAATTCAGAGATACCAAAACACTCTTCAAGGTTGCAAATGGGTAATTTGACATCCCAAAATGGCAACTCCCTTTGGAGTTGCTCTTAGATCAAAGCAACATTTTTGTATGTGGGTTGGATTTTGGCTAGTTAGGACCTGTGAAACTTGCTAGGATTTTTCCCCTTGCAAGTTCTGGTTAAGATCAGCAATAGGCCATGCCAGACAGGGACTTTGAGCTTACATATACCACGCTGTCTTATGGACGAAAAGATGTAAAAGTTTGTTAAGTGTCACCAAGGGAGGAGGGGGTCCAAAAAGATAATTCTAACTCATGGACATAGGTAGCTGTTGGAAGAACAATGGCCAAGTTTTGCAATAGAGATGTGATGACAGACATAACTCAACGCGGTGAGATGATCATAGACCCTAACCAGTCATGGTGCAAGCCAAGCAAGCTCAACTTGTGCCTGTCTTACCATGCTCTGCCATTGGAATCTTGTCCATTGCTTGGAGAAGCAAAACTTTGCATATGATGCTTATCATGTATATTGCTCTCCCGGCAATGCTAAGCTCCTTGAGAAGCCATTTAGCGATCCATATAACAATGCTCAACCTTGAGAAACATTGACGATTCTATCTCACTGTATATCAAATTATCAAATATCCAATGAGGAAAGGTGAGTGGGGTTGGGGATCCAAGAACTATTTTTTTTTTTCTTTCATTTGAAAAGGGTGCAACACGATGTCTTTTTAGGGGGTCACCTTGGGTATTCAAGAACTTGTGCATTTAGATGTTATTATATAATAATAAAATTGTATATGTGCATGCGATTATTTTAGAAAAAAGAGCACATCCATAAGAAAATAACAAAAACAACGTAAACCAACCAATACCTACAAAATACTGAAAATACTAGGAAAATGGTATCACACAGTACTTCAATCTAAACCCTAAACAGAAGAACAAAAATCATGTTGAGATTATTAGCAACTAAACTAATTGTTATCCTCCGTTGGAACTATAATGTCGAAGTCACTGACAGTCCACTCAGCAATTTCATTGCCACTGACGTATATCTCAGTTCCCAAGTCGATTGATGGCCAATGTCTTTCCACAGGCTTAGTGCCTGGATCCTGCATAAACGCAAAGCCACCAAATGTTGTTAGAATTCAAAGTTTGAAGTGCCTTTGGAATATGAAAGCAAATCATATCATACCTGGTAAAAGTACAGTTCCTGTGAAAGTCCCCCAACGTCGTCGTGTTCCCAAGTTCTTGAATCCCCAATCCAACTCTCACCTTTTCTTATTGGATATCCGTATACTCCCTAAACAGGGTGAGGTAGGATCTGCAATATTTCTTGAGGTTGAGGATTGCTATAGGCGTCACACAAGTTATTTGGCTACTCAAGGTGCTTGCAATTGCTAGGAGAGCAATATATGTGATAAGCATCGCAAGGGAAGTTTTCGTTGTTCGAGTGATGTACAAGAGTTCCATTCGGAAGAGTGCTAAGGTGGGCACATTTCAAGTTTGTCTGGCTTGCACCATGGCTCTGTGCTGGGATTTATGATCACCTCACTGTATCGGGTAACGTCTGTTGTGACATCCCCATTGCAAGGTTGTCCATTGTTCTTCCAGCAGCTACCTATGTCCATGAGGTAGAACTGGCTATTTGGACCCCCTCCTCTCTTTACATCTAGTGTGAATCTCACTTTGAAATTTGGTGACTTTGGGACCTATATCATATCCAATGAGTTAAATGATGTCATAGTTCGTATGTTTGATCAAAACTACTTTTCGCAAAAAGAAAGAGCTCTACACTGCTTTAATTAACTACAGTGGATAAGTTTTATTTTCCTTTCTTGTTTTTGGTCTGAAACCAAGAGGAGAGGAAATATCTTTCTTTTCAAATATATCAAATCAACCTTTCTTGAGTTTGAAGTTGAAGCAAACAAATAATTGAACAAAAACTTACTATTTTCGACATCCCTCTTGTTTCGTAATGATAGCCACCAGAGAATCCTGTGGTGGCATCTGACCTCAAGTATAGCATCAGCCATGGGTACTTTGATGATGTCTTCAAGACATGATGAAAAATCCAACTTCCCTTTCCAACCTTCTTCTTCCAAGTCACTGAATAATAGGAAGTGACATTCTTTCTTGCTGCCTTTGCCACATCAGCATCCAAATCCCATGTTCCATAGAACCTTCCTCTTAGATTTCTTCCTTGTACACTTGTGTAATTGTGGTATATCAGTGGCATGTTCATGCAGCCTTTGCCAAAGCATGGAAACCGAGGTATCGGTGGAAATGGTTTGGATTTCTTGCCATTTTCAGGGCATACAGCAGCCATGGTGTCCATGTTACCACTCTTGAGCATTATCATCCAAAATTGCCATGGCTTTGGCTTGTCTTGCACTTGGCATTTGTACCCTAAGTATCTCTCTTTCCATGCTGCATACTGATTCACATTCATGTCACCTAACCCTTGGTTTGTGGCATTTGACACGCCATGTTTATTGACATTCTCATTCACCCTGTGAGCTAGCTTGACTGCAATATCATGAAAAAAAAAAAAAGGAACATTGAACAATGAGAATGATTTGAATCGATAAAGAAATTTGAAGGCTGAAATGTCTGCTTGAACTGTTAAATTTGGTTTAGAATCTGTCTATCAGAACCAGTTTAAGACTTCTATTGTAATTGACAGGAGGAATAAATTTTCTTAATTCCNAAAAAAAAAAAAAAAGGAACATTGAACAAAGAGAATGATTTGAATCGATAAAGAAATTTAAAGGCTGAAATGTCTGCTTGAACTGTTAAATTTGGTTTAGAATCTGTCTATCAGAACCAGTTTAAGACTTCTATTCTAATTGACAGGAGGAATAAATTTTCTTAATTCCAAACTAGCTAGTATAGAAGCAGAATAACTTTATGACAGAAGTTTCAGGGCAAATCCGAGCTATGATAAGAAGCCATTCATGCATATGGGACAAGTATGGGTTAATGTCCTACTTGTTAATTGGCATGGTTGATTTTCAATATGAACTATCCTCAACCTTTTGTCATCTTCAACCAAAATGCTTCCTGAGCCGCGATGGTNTATGGGACAAGTATGGGTTAATGTCCTACTTGTTAATTGGCATGGTTGATTTTCAAAATGAACTATCCCCAACCTATTGTCATCTTCAACCAAAATGCTTCCTGAGCCGCGATGGTCTTTTAGATCATAGCAATGTGCCAAAAAACAAGAACTCACTGTGTGATGTAGAATTATCAACATCAAAGCAATCGGCCTCCCTGAGACTCCCCATGTTGGGAGCTTCTTCACCAACCTCATTGCACTGATTCCATGGCTCAATTGCCACTCTAAGGCCATCTCTTCTCATGCCAGGATCACCAATTGCTGACATATATTCTTTTCCGGCCCCCTACGTGAATGATCCACAAAACAATAAAGTAACATGTATGCAACAAAAACACCACGAAACCGTTGTTGCCATCATAGAGGTCACTGTAACAACAAATTAGTAATGAGTTNAAATGCAAGATGAGCCAAAGCCATGGCAGTTTTGGATGACAATGCTCAAGAGCGGAAACATGGATACACAGCTGCTATATGCCCCAAAAACGAGAGGAAAGCATACCCCTTTCCACCTCAATCTGGGTTTCTATGCTTTGGTAGGGNTTGAACTGAGATCCTCCTTGACTATGGGTTTCAGCTCTATTTATAGGGAAAAACACTGGCAAAAGAGAAGTTTGTTGCTTGATTTGGATTTAAATCACCATTGAGGATAATCTTGATAAGANTTGAACTGAGATCCTCCTTGACTATGGGTTTCAGCTCTATTTATAGGGAAAAACACCGGCAAAAGAGAAGTTTGTTGCTTGATTTGGATTTAAATCACCATTGAGGATAATCTTGATAAAACCAAACTTGGGCCTCACCCTGATTGATTGATCCTATTAGTAAGATATCATTTTTAAAATAAAGAGTTCAAATTCAAATTAGGATCAACCCCTAATATCATGCTAGTTAGATTGTCTTGAAGACTAAGACATGGTTGAATATATATAATGGGTAATCAGTCCTTGCGTGGAATGTCCGGCAAAGGAAAAACGTTCTAAGTGCAACCAAATTTCTTACCAATCATACCTTGTCAAAGCTGCTCCTTGTGGGATACTTCAGTGTTGCTAGTGCACTACTCAGAGATTAGAAAACTTATGGGCAAAGGGTAATCCTTCAAGTTAACCAATGTAAAACTGCATAACGGAGGCTTGGTCATGATACAACTTTCACATCTGTGTGTGCTCATATAACTCGGTTGTCTTAAGCTTCATTATGAAGCTGTTATAGTGAAGAACTCCACAATCGTAAATATTGCAGTGTGGTGGTTTTGTTGTGCATTTTTAGTTGGTGTAGCCTGTGGATTATTTGTTTCAGCCAAGGAAGAATATGTATCAGCCAGTGAGTTCTTGTTCCTTCATGTTTATAGACTTATGGGTTTTGAGATTCTAAACAACCAGCTCTGTTTCGACTGTTTTTCAGCCTAATATAGGCAACGGGCTGTGCCACGTAGCCGAGGACTGTCTAGCTCAATGGGGGCTGGCATATGTCACTAGCCCTGAGGAAAACATTTGGAACTTGGTCATACACGAACTTACGCAAAGTTTTCTTATTAGAGATTCAGGAACTGTCTGATATATCAGAAAATAACAGTATTGTTATAAGATTACTTATATTGGCAAGCTTGAAATTGAGAAGCTTAACCCCTGGTCCTAAGTCAATTAGGACCAAATGCAAGATGAGCCAAAGCCATGGCAGTTTTGGATGACAATGCTCAAGAGCGGAAACATGGATACACAGCTGCTATATGCCCCGAAAACGAGAGGAAAGCATACCCCTTTCCACCTCAATCTGGGTTTCTATGCTTTGGTAGAGGTTGTAGTGTGGAAGGAGGCCAAAAATAGTAAGCTTGTTTAATTTAGAGGCTTTCTCAGGCACTTTACTTTCCACCAGGTAATTGTGTAGAATCCAGGCACAGGACCAGTTAAAAGATACCAACCACCGATCGACCTGGGAACCGAACGAAAAGTGAAATTGCGTAATGGACAGTTAGTGACTTCGATATTACAGGTCAAATTGAAAGTACAATATAAATGTAATGGTGCATAAAAACAATCACTATCCAATTATAATTCCAATGTTGCAATTGTTATAATTGTACAGGTACATGATTAGTGCCTAGAAAATATAAACAACTACTAAAACCAGAACCTGGCCCCTCCGCAACCCCCTCGCTCCCTCTCTCCCCCTTCCCCTCCAACAACCAAAAAAAAGAAGGAAGAAAAAAACCCACCCAATTCTTTTACCATGTGTCGATTTGGTGATCCAACCAAGATCAGCACCCATTTTTGATTTTCAGACGCGATTAATTGATCCATTTAAGATGATCCAATATGACCCGCTAAGAAGACAGTCCAAACTGAACAGCACCAATCTCTCTGTGAGCAGCAACAGCCACTGCTGCAGCACCAACTACACCAAACTGAGATTGCGCCTGCAGCAATTTTGCATCGATTGCAATTTGATTATTTAATGGGCTTGCTTTGGCNCCAGCTCTGTTTCGACTGTTTTTCAGCCTAATATAGGCAACGGGCTGTGCCACGTAGCCGAGGACTGTCTAGCTCAATGGGGGCTGGCATATGTCACTAGCCCTGAGGAAAACATTTGGAACTTGGTCATACACGAACTTACGCAAAGTTTTCTTATTAGAGATTCAGGAACTGTCTGATATATCAGAAAATAACAGTATTGTTATAAGATTACTTATATTGGCAAGCTTGAAATTGAGAAGCTTAACCCCTGCTCCTAAGTCAATTAGGACCAAATGCAAGATGAGCCAAAGCCATGGCAGTTTTGGATGACAATGCTCAAGAGCGGAAACATGGATACACAGCTGCTATATGCCCCGAAAACGAGAGGAAAGCATACCCCTTTCCACCTCAATCTGGGTTTCTATGCTTTGGTAGAGGTTGTAGTGTGGAAGGAGGCCAAAAATAGTAAGCTTGTTTAATTTAGAGGCTTTCTCAGGCACTTTACTTTCCACCAGGTAATTGTGTAGAATCCAGGCACAGGACCAGTTAAAAGATACCAACCACCGATCGACCTGGGAACCGAACGAAAAGTGAAATTGCGTAATGGACAGTTAGTGACTTCGATATTACAGGTCAAATTGAAAGTACAATATAAATGTAATGGTGCATAAAAACAATCACTATCCAATTATAATTCCAATGTTGCAATTGTTATAATTGTACAGGTACATGATTAGTGCCTAGAAAATATAAACAACTACTAAAACCAGAACCTGGCCCCTCCGCAACCCCCTCGCTCCCTCTCTCCCCCTTCCCCTCCAACAACCAAAAAAAAGAAGGAAGAAAAAAACCCACCCAATTCTTTTACCATGTGTCGATTTGGTGATCCAACCAAGATCAGCACCCATTTTTGATTTTCAGACGCGATTAATTGATCCATTTAAGATGATCCAATATGACCCGCTAAGAAGACAGTCCAAACTGAACAGCACCAATCTCTCTGTGAGCAGCAACAGCCACGGCTGCAGCACCAACTACACCAAACTGAGATTGCGCCTGCAGCAATTTTGCATCGATTGCAATTTGATTATTTAATGGGCTTCCTTTGCCNATTGAGAAGCTTAACCCCTGCTCCTAAGTCAATTAGGACCAAATGCAAGATGAGCCAAAGCCATGGCAGTTTTGGATGACAATGCTCAAGAGCGGAAACATGGATACACAGCTGCTATATGCCCCGAAAACGAGAGGAAAGCATACCCCTTTCCACCTCAATCTGGGTTTCTATGCTTTGGTAGAGGTTGTAGTGTGGAAGGAGGCCAAAAATAGTAAGCTTGTTTAATTTAGAGGCTTTCTCAGGCACTTTACTTTCCACCAGGTAATTGTGTAGAATCCAGGCACAGGACCAGTTAAAAGATACCAACCACCGATCGACCTGGGAACCGAACGAAAAGTGAAATTGCGTAATGGACAGTTAGTGACTTCGATATTACAGGTCAAATTGAAAGTACAATATAAATGTAATGGTGCATAAAAACAATCACTATCCAATTATAATTCCAATGTTGCAATTGTTATAATTGTACAGGTACATGATTAGTGCCTAGAAAATATAAACAACTACTAAAACCAGAACCTGGCCCCTCCGCAACCCCCTCGCTCCCTCTCTCCCCCTTCCCCTCCAACAACCAAAAAAAAGAAGGAAGAAAAAAACCCACCCAATTCTTTTACCATGTGTCGATTTGGTGATCCAACCAAGATCAGCACCCATTTTTGATTTTCAGACGCGATTAATTGATCCATTTAAGATGATCCAATATGACCCGCTAAGAAGACAGTCCAAACTGAACAGCACCAATCTCTCTGTGAGCAGCAACAGCCACGGCTGCAGCACCAACTACACCAAACTGAGATTGCGCCTGCAGCAATTTTGCATCGATTGCAATTTGATTATTTAATGGGCTTGCTTTGCCTTGTGAAGGATAATATGGGTTAGTGTTCAAGTCAGCGGTCATGCCAGGGGCAGGTTTGGCTGCCATGCCTTGCAATGATTGCTGTTTGACGTGTGAAGATTCCCTAGTCGCTTCTGTCCCCAGCTTTTCTTGATTCCCAGTGGTAGTCTTGAAGAAATGATGCGGAGAGATGGTCTGAGGAGGGAGCACTGCGTTTCCAGCATACACCCTTCCATCATATGCATCCTTGATGTTTCTTCCACCTTCATATGGTAAAACTGGTCCCACAACTCTTCCTGGTTTGGCTGAACAAGATACGTATACATTACTAAACAGCAATGTGTTGGTAAAGAGCAATAATTCCAACAACCCACATAGCCCGGGACCGAGCAGAACTCAAAACAAAGAGGAAGCAGAACCAAATAACAAGCTTACAATACAGCTCAAAAAACAGGTAACAACAGTAAATGACCCTAATGTAGCAAATGTAAGGAGACTGATACTAAGCCTGCTTCTCTAATCCCAAAAATCCACTCTATTGTCAGTGGATAAAAAGAGTAGTCTACATAGGTATTTGACCCAGACCTAGTGCTTGTGACCACAATAAAGTTAACATTTAACGACCAAGAAAATCATCACAAGATGCAAACATCTGTAACAACTGCCACTTACTGATTTAAAAAAAGTATCCACTATGTAAACTCAAATATCTGTTCAACTATAAGAATGCCAAGAGCATGTTGGCAATACTCCTTTTGTCATTATTCCACTTTGGGTCATAGATCTTTGATAGTAAAGCCTGTTAAATTTAACCACACGCAAACAAAGTGCAAATTATTGATGGGATACACCCCAATGCTCAACTAGCAAACCTCCTATGCAGTATGCAGGCACATAACAACACACTCAAGTGCTCCCATTAAGCGATCCTGTGACGACAGCTACTTCACAGCATTTATACCATAGGAAAATTAAAATAGAAGACTTCAATACCTGTAGGTATCCGTGGTGGTGGCCGTGAAGCATTTGATATATTTCCAGGTATCATATCTGCAACTCTAACACCACTACACACCTCTTCGGAAATTCGCCGGTTATCATATACTGGCAAATTTTGGTGTGCCTTGGGAGGGATGGTACTTGAGTTAACAGTAGACCTGCACCAAGACACAGAAAATTAGGAGTGATTTTAAGAGGAGAGTTTCCTTTACTTCTTTACTCTGTTCTACACTGTTCCCAACCAAAAAAAAAAAGAGGAGAGTTCCCCTGCAGCATCGTCTTCCTTATTATATTGCTCTCTGCATAATTACTTTCTCAATTGCTTTAGGAAGCTCTACCTAAACAATTACAGATCCTTGTAGTAAGAGTGCGCCTTTTCCCACTTTAAACACACAAATATAAGGGAGCTTTGGGGAACGTTAGGCAATTGAAAAATAGAAAAATGCAGTAACGAAATTGAATAACAATTCTCACCGAGGGAGGGAGACATGCTTTCTCTGGAGAGGAATTACAGGCCCGCTCTTCCCACCATTCTCCTCAAGATATGCAAATTGCTTTCTAAATTGACCGATAGCACTGCAAAGAACACATTATTGCTGTACTGTAAATCATCATGCAACATGATACATGGTCTAAAACTACAACCAAATGGAAAACATAGTTAACATTAAAAACAGAGTTAGGTTAAAAATCTCCCAACCTAGGATATAGATAATTTGTGCCTTCGTTGCCTGCCATGTAGTCCTTGAGCAGTTGAGGATGGTATTCTAGTATCTCTCGAAATATTAGTTCCCTAATGTCCTCCTTTGTCACCCTTCGCCTCTCAAATTCAAATTCCAGCTTTGAGATTGGCTGACAAGAAGGTTCCCTCTCAACTTTGCCCAGGCCTTTGAAGTAAGGATCAGCCAATGCCTACAAAGCCATATACATTGTAATTGAGCTAACTTTATATTAAACGAAGAGCAGAAAGACTTTTCAATTCATAAAAAGCACCCCTATAAAACTTGAGTTCCACAACGTAACAATAGAGAGAAAATTATAGCTACAAGCATAGAAGACTACATGTCAGATAATAAGACACCTCAATAAGACACAAGATGTACCTCTTCAGCAGTTGGCCGATCTTTTGGATCAAATGCCAATAGCTTTTGCAGTAGCCGGAGTGCTAGCGGATCAGCATTTGAAAATTTATCGGCCAAAGGCACAGGATATTTTTTCCGCATATCTGTCAAATATTTCCTCGCTTTCTCATTTCGAACCTGAATCCATTGAAGAACAAAATTTTAAGACCAACATTTTGGAGAAGAACTTTAACGACGAGCAAGTAAAACAACATAGAACCCAAAAAAAAAAAAAAGAAGTGCTTCCGTACTCCAGAAATGGTATCTACTGTCGGTGTTCCAAGAAGATCAGTCATCAAATCCAGCTGATGCACAACACTTTTACCAGGAAACAACGGCTTCCCAGTCAATACCTCCGCGAAGATACAGCCAATACTCCAAATATCAATAGCAGGTGTATACTGCAATCCAGGTGCCAAGACAAATCAGGTTAAATAACAAGAACATAAAATATCAACACAGCAAGAAAACCCTCCAGAAGAATTGACAGAAGACCTGACACGTTTACCTGAAGGACAGAAAATTCAACTTCCAGGAGAGTTCAATAGTCCTCCCTGAACAAAATTATTTTAATCTAGGCATTACTGCTTACTTAGGCACTCAGAATACATTTCGTACAGAAATAAATGTGTCATTTCAATGTTAAGCTGTAACTCACAGCAGAGACGCAGTGTTAACAATGCCAGATATATCAAGTCAAACTGTCATTCATTTTTGCTAAATTCTCGGGTTGAGAGACTTCTTTACTTTGTGAAATGGTGAGCAAATAAAGTGATCAAGAACAACAGAAGTGAAGTGCTTATAAATAACATCCAGATTCCAAATATCACTTGACGATATTTGTCCATACGACTGATGCTCTGTCCAGACAGAGGTACACTAGGAAATATGAACTAAAAGAAAGAAATGATGAGCGGTTTACTAATATGTTGCATATGCATGCATATCAGATTTGATTTGTTTTGCTTGCGATGTCCCTGAGACCAAAAATGATTCTCAGCACAAGACAAGTTTTAGGAACATACCAAAAGATCTTCACCTTCAACACGTCCAAAACAAAAAGAATATCACAAAAAAAAAGCATGTTTAGGAGAACGGGTGGCAACACGAGGAGGATTGAGGAAACCAAATGTAGCACCAATTGGGTGAAATAAGAGACAAGAACGAATTTGATCAGCATATACAGGAACTGAGTGTAGCGATCAGTAGCATAAAATAATGAAGGAGCTATTTAGATCTCTACATTACACATCAAACACAAAATGAGAACAAGGGGAACAGACAATGAATACGGCTGATGCTAGAATGGAAAACACGAAAAACCTAGGATTTAACAATGATATAGCACTATATAGATTAAGTTGGTGAATATAAGATTTAGCTGGCGAAAAATGTTTGCAGGGGCAACAATTCAAGTCAAGGCCCAGCAAGAACAAGAAGAAAGCCTTTGAGTACATGGTTCCATGCTATGGAAATACTTTAGAGGCTTTTCCACCCAATTTACCAATAAATAGAACTGCANAAATGTAGCACCAATTGGGTGAAATAAGAGACAAGAACGAATTTGATCAGCATATAGCGATCAGTAGCATAAAATAATGAAGGAGCTATTTAGATCTCTACATTACACATCAAACACAAAATGAGAACAAGGGGAACGGACAATGAATACGGCTGATGCTAGAATGGAAAACACGAAAAACCTAGGATTTAACAATGATATAGCACTATATAGATTAATTTGGTGAATATAAGATTTAGCTGGCGAAAAATTTTTGCAGGGGCAACAATTCAAGTCAAGGCCCAGCAAGAACAAGAAGAAAGCCTTTGAGTACATGGTTCCATGCTATAGAAATACTTTAGAGGCTTTTCCACCCAATTTACCAATATATAGAACTGGATCTATTTTTCCCTCTATTTAATAAGCACAAAAAGTATACCACAAAATCAATCAAGTAGTGAAACAGGTTCAGGTAGCAAATGTCATGATGCTTGGCAAGGTTCTAGTTAAGGTGAGCATTCTATAACAACCACATTTGCAATAGATCCACATAAACTAAAGCTCAAGTCAGAAACTTTCATGCAGCATTTTAAACAAGAATAACATATTATACAACAGATTGACCCCTGAAAACACAGTTGTGCAACTGATAGCACTCTCTGTTGTCTTCCTCTTCCCCCTCCCCCCAGCTCATTTTTTCATTCCACCAAGAAAGAGAGGAAAATAAAAGCATAAAGGTTTATGTTGTCATGGTTCATAACATTACTCAATATTAATAAGAGCACATATGCACATGAATAGACCAAAGGGGTAAAGTTACTTCTTCACAGCAGGGTGCAATATTATTCTTATTTTCATTAATGCTCCATTCTCAAGTTTTTCTTCAGAGATATTAAGCCATTAGTAAACTCAAAAATATGTAAAGAATGGTAAAAATTATAATAGGCCACAAAACCGTCAAGCCATCACACAGAATTTATGATTTTCATGATGTGTCTTGTCAGAATAAATCGGCCTTATCGATTACCTATTTGGCAATAGGAACTTTAACTCAACGAACAGAAATGGTAAGCATACATGGATTATATCTTATTTTCTAAGAAACAACTTCCTTTCCCCTTGACTTCCTTCCTATTCTCCACAAATTTCTTCACAACCATTTCAAACAGCGAAAAGAACAGCCACACCACAAAAATGAAAGATAAGATGCAAAGGAGGAATGCTGCAAGGATAAAGTATAAACAGCCAATCCCATGAAAGGATATTACATGAAGCGAAGCCTTCATGGTCCCATCTTCTCTTCAAATAAAGAAACATAGACAAATGAACTANCATTTCAAACAGCGAAAAGAACAGCCACACCACAAAAATGAAAGATAAGATGCAAAAGAGGAATGCTGCAAGGATAAAGTATAAACAGCCAATCCCATGAAAGGATATTAAATGAAGCGAAGCCTTCATGGTCCCATCTTCTCTTCAAATAAAGAAACATAGTCGAATGAACCAAGAGGATAATGGTAGCACTCTTTTGATCCATGAATCAAAGACCATGCCCCAAGAATGTTTTCATTGATCAAAAATTTGAAAAAAAAAAGGCAGTATAAGTTTCAGGAAGCTATACCTTCGAAAAAAATGATCCACAAAGCTCAGGGGCCCTATACCATCTTGTAGCAACATAATCCTGCACGGGTATTAGAAGAAACAAAATAAATATGATTATTTTGGACATATTTCTGAGAAAGATGATTAAAAATAAAATGGTATGCTCTATCACTGCAGTGGGAAAATAGTGAAATTTAACAAGATGCAGAGATCATAGTATAAAAGTAATATGACCAACTTACCGTCCAAAATATTGTTGTTGGGGTATCACTAAATGCAACTCTTGCTAGTCCAAAATCACATATTTTAAGTTTGCAATTTGCATTTGCCAATATATTCTTCGGTTTAAGATCTCGATGGTACACGTTTGCTGAAAACAAAGAGCTTTGAATCAGAACAGATAAAACAAACAGCTAAACAACAACAACAAACCCCCCACCTCTCTAAAAAAAATCCTTTTCCTACTTGGCAGCGCAGCAAATGAGAAAATAGCTATGTAAAAAACAAGACGAGAGGTAGGAACTAGGAAGAAAATTCTGGATATAAGTTATAAAACAATAAATCTAGACAGAACCTACAAACCATCTCATGAAAATAACCAATGAAAGTTCTGCTAAAATGAAAATAAATTATTATAACCACAACAATTATTTACCTGTATGCATGTACTTCAATGCACGTAGCATCTGATAAAGGAAGAACCGGTGGTGCTCATGCGTTAAGTCATCATTGGCTTTGATGACTTGGTGCAGGTCAGACTCCATTAGCTCAAAGACAACATAAATGTCTCTGAATTCCCGCCTTGAGGGTGGCAGCATGATGCGTTTAATTTCTACGATATCAGGATGGCGTAAAAGCCTAAGCAACTTAACCTCGCGTAAAATTCGAATGGCATCAGAGATATGCTCAAATATGTCATTTATTTTCTTTATTGCTACTTTTTCCCCAGTATGTGTGTCAATGGCTGCACAAACAACTCCATAGCTTCCCTTCCCTATAACTTCCAGAATTTTGTATCTAGTAGCATCCCCATACTCCGTGAAAAATTCCGTCTCTTTTTGGCTCTGTACAATGATTAAAAGGGAGTCAGATAATACATGGTCAACATTCACGGGAGATGATTCACGCCAAACAGATTATAAAACAATCAAGTTATTCAATGCCCAATTATTTAAAATGTTAGCAAGTGTGTACATAAACACATACACAAAATCTGGTTGGTAGTGACAAAGCCAAGTAAACTATTACAGCATCGACAGTTAAGTAGTGGAACAAATATATCTGTGGTGGGTCGTAGTAAGCCTCAATCACAATGGAATGACAAAAAAGAACTAGAAATTTCCTAAAAGTTCCCCAACTTAACTTTACAAAGCAATATTTGAGAAATCATTTATTGAGCAAAGAATATGATCCAAAAAAACACTCTTGCAAGCCACAACAGAGCTAGGGCACAGCAAAAAAGACAAAAAAATTTGAATTCTCCAATGTCATCACTTTTAGCAACAAAATTTAATTCTCTATAGCAGTCATAGGTAAACAATCTGTGATAGTGTAGTCTGGTACGTGGAATCTAAGAACTCCATTTGGGTTTTGACATTTCATTATAACCCAACCAAAAGAAAATGTGCAGCGCATTTTTGGTAAAGAAACTACATGATAGAAAAAGCAAACAATGATTGAATTATCATATCCGAGGAAAAAGTATTCTACTGAACAAATTGAAGCAGCATAAGCAATTCCCATAGGGAAATTTAAATAAATGGAGGAATGAATATGAATATATCAGCTTGCATCTAAACCTTTTCAGTCCATTCAATCGACTCTTAATTTGCAGTTTACTAATTAGGGGCGGGTTAATCTAAGTTATGCCAGGCTTGGATTCCAAAAATAAAGAAAAATCCGAGACACAAAATGACAAATTATTTATGTTTCCTACATCCTCCGCAACAAAAAGTAGCATAAGCTAAAGGCAGATTTGTATATCCAAAACCCTTTTCTGGCAGCCAAAAACACTAAAGCGCAGCACAATAACATCCCAATTGGTTCACTGCGAAAAATACCTCATCAAAAAACTAAACTATTGCATTCGGTTCAAATAAAGTTACTTCTTTAAAGTTCGTCAGTTTTATGAATTACAGATCGTAATTCTCAAAACTACAACTTCTAAGCACCCAAATGGATCTTATGCTCGGAAAAAAGTGGGGGAAAATCACCCATCTTCAACACAAACCAAGGATTTAACCCATGATCACGCACACACAGGAATTCTTTTTAGTATTCAATTTTAGCTTAATCAGATATCAATTTTAATCCGCCATGAGAGTTCAAAGGAGAAAAAATAAGAACTAAAAAGTAGTGCGATACAGAGAATTCTAAATATGTAAAAGTTTAATCATGATTAAGATCCCGTTTTTTCTTTGAACAAAGAGGCAGAGAATGATGAAAAAGTGACCTTCTTTCGCTGATCTTGCTGCATCTTGAAACAATTTCTGAATTGAACTCCCTCGTCGTCTTCCTCTTTTCTTCAGGCAGTCGGATCAAAATCAAGAAAACGGTAAAATTGTTTTTTTTTTTTTACAGAAAGTCAATAAAAAAATACAGCCGTGGGATGAATTAGCGAATCATCTCAGCCACAGTTGCCCCACCGACACCGACTCCGAATCACCAACCCACAGTCCCTCCCTATTTTCTCCACACTGTGCCTCTCACCAACCTCAACCACCTTTCTCATCCACTTCTCAAACCCACCCGGACTTCAATCACTCCTCAAAATCAGATCTATAACTCATCAAGACCAAAACTCAAAGAAGTGAAAATTTGAGAAAACTTGAGTGTCACCTAAGGTTATGAAGAGCTAGGGCTTGGAAGATCCGGTAGGAGAGGAGAGAGAGAGATCGTAGATCGGAGATCGGAGATCAGAGATCTGAGAGAGAGAGAGNCTAGGGCTTGGAAGATCCGGTAGGAGAGGAGAGAGAGAGATCGTAGATCGGAGATCAGAGATCTGNTGTCACCTAAGGTTATGAAGAGCTAGGGCTTGGAAGATCCGGTAGGAGAGGAGAGAGAGAGATCGTAGATCGGAGATCGGAGATCAGAGATCTGAGAGAGAGAGAGAGAGAGAGAGAACGGAGGAGAGAGAGGTGGGGCTGTGGAAGGGGTTTTTTAAAGAGAAAATGCTGTGGTTTTGCGTGCTCTTTCTATTAGTACGATACGGTGATGTTCCTCTTATGTAATTTTAACAATATTCTTATCCTCCAAATTAATTACGCATAATTCCCTAAAATTTGGATAATAAGACAAAAACCTCTAATTTTCGCGTATTATAACATAAACACCTCCTTCAAACTTTTTTTTCTTTTTGAACCGATACCTCCTCCAAATTGCAAGTGACAAAAATAATGTATTCATAAAATATTCCAAAGACGTGATTAGGTCTGTCATAGATCAGATTTCAATTTAAATTTGATTAGTTGAATATAAATTAATATTTTTTCACTAAGAATCCGAATCCATTATACTATCTTTCACGGATTCAATATAGATTTATTTATATCTGATCTAACACATATGTATGTATAGTATAGTTTTCATATTTACTGTCGATCATGTTAAAACTAGATCTCTACCCTATATATTTATCCCTAAACTATTTTAACCCCTAAGAGCATCTCTCAAGGGTTAGTTATTTGGCATTTGTTAGTTAAAATAAAGAGTTAAACTCCAAAATTGTACTCCAAGAGACTACCTATTTTACATTTAGCCCAAATGGCTCTCTACATTTGGTTAGCCTCCTTAGCTAGATATTTTATATTTGGAGAGTGAAAAATAACTCTTTTTACACTTAAAATGGACAACTATTTTGTATTTTGACGATGCGTCAAGCTAAGCAATATTTTGACTTAAAATATTAATAGTATTTAGCTAAAATAGAGAGTATGGTTGAAGTAACTTTGTAAAAATGATTCTTTAAAATAAAGAATAAAATATTTTAATATTTTTTGAGTAACTATTTTAATGTACTAATCTTTAATATTGTAATATATTTTAAGCTAATATTTTGAGTACTCCTCTGATTCTTGATGGTGGATATTGCTCATTTTTTGTTCTTATTTCTTATTTTTGTTCCCTAGATTTTTTCTAGAAAGCTGATAGTTTTGACTCCATGTTCTGCTAAGATATAAATTGTAACTAATTTAGGAAATAATCAATGGGATTGNTTTTTGTTCCCTAGATTTTTTCTAGAAAGCTGATAGTTTTGACCCCATGTTCTGCTAAGATATAAATTGTAACTAATTTAGGAAATAATCAATGGGATTGAGTCAAAATCAAGGTGAAATTGTTAGATTTTTGAAGTATTTATTGGTTTTGAAATTGATGACTTTGAATTTTTGTGAAAATGGAATTGTGAATGGATTGGATGTCTGCTAAATAATGGATTCGGNTAATCAATGGGATTGAGTCAAAATCAAGGTGAAATTGTTAGATTTTTGAAGTATTTATTGGTTTTGAAACTGATGACTTTGAATTTTTGTGAAAATGGAATTGTGAATGGATCGGATGTCTGCTAAATAATGGATTCAGATATGTATTGAATTTTTCTAATCCATCGGATCGGATCGAGAGAAATGTGATCGGATTCGAATTTGTAATCCGTTCCATACCCGAGCTATTGATAGGCCTTGACATAATATGTGTACCACAACCACAACCACAACCACAAGTCCAAGTTCTCCTATATTTGTCAAAAGAACAATTATGGGTTGTAACATTTCATATTGATTTGTCTAGGGTGCTTTCTCGTCTAAAGGCAGAGTTGAGTTTTCTCACTATACAATGATCACTGTAAACAAATGACCAATAAGGATGAAAGACAAGGAGGAGGAAAAGCTAGGTTTATAACATACATAAGTATATAAAAAAAAAAGTTAGCTTGATTTTTTATTAGAACTTTTATTTTTGATATTTGTTTATCAATTTTTTTTTTTAAAAAAATGAGNCGTTCCATACCCGAGCTATTGATAGGCCTTGACATAATATGTGTACCACAACCACAGGTCCAAGTTCTCCTATATTTGTCAAAAGAACAATAATGGGTTGTAGCATTTCATATTGATTTGTCTAGGGTGTTTTCTCGTCTAAAGGCAGAGGTGAGTTTTCTCACTATACAATGATCACTATGAACAAATGACCAATAAGGATGAAAGACAAGGAGGAGGAAAAGCTAGGTCTATAACATACATAAGTATAAAAAAAAAAGTTAGCTTGATTTTTTATTAGAACTTTTATTTTTGATATTTGGTTATCAATTTTTTTTTTTAAAAAAATGAGTTACACTTAAATCTAAAATCTCAAGTGAGAGAAGTATAAGTTTTCTATGTTTTTGGAGATAAAGTGGTAGGGGTCAAACTAGTAATGAATAATGATAATGAGTATCCAAGTAGTATTTGTCTACCAAAGTTTTTTAAGCTAAATGATTGAATGCACTGGTGCCATGGCCACACAATTCCAGGACCTTAGATGATTGGATGCTAATTAGAGTGGGGCCATCATAGACTGATGTTAATCCTAATATAATCCACTAAGAGCAATGATTAGCTAGATATATATTACTTAAATAATGAATTATTTTTTATTTTGACAATCAAGTATTTTGTACACGTCCAAAGAAAAAACATTCTTCTTCCAATTTGTTTGGTACAAATTGATGAGGCTATGCAACTCAACTATGGTAGGTCAAACTAATGCAAGCACACTGCCATTTTGGGAGAATTTGCATAGAACTTTTTCATCCCATTTGGTTTTGAAGATATTTCATTCCTTATATAGTTTCATTTTTTTTTTATCTTTGAACTAGGATTTGGATTCCCCTCACTAGTATTTCAAAATTTTGGTAGATCGTGTACTATGAATTTAATAGGGTAGGACAATTTATCATTAAAGAGAAATTAGAAAATACAATAGATGATTTATCATTAGGAGAATCAAATGATAGTATACTGTAAGAAAAGTGAATTCAACATGGTAAAGGATCTACAATTGAGAGAAATTAAAAAAATTGTGTATTAGAGAAGATTTAGATTTAACATGATCGATTATATGCTACTAAAAATAATTGAACAATGGTCTACTATAAGGTATCCAATTCTATAGAAGACTTTGCACTTCTCCAAACTATGCGAGTATGTGTTAAATGACACTATTTACTTCTTCAATTATACGAGTCAACTCCAACTCAGTATTGACTTAAGTGTACCTCGGGTGTATGTCTCTGTCCCACACACATATACCGGACAAACTTGGGTAAATTTTAATAAGGTTATCATCCCTAGATTGGGTTTTAGAACTAATAAATGTTGTTTAATCCATAAGGAGTCCAAGTTAAGAGTCAATTGAATGTAGTGACATACAACAAAATAAACTTTATTTTAGCAATAAAGTTATTTAAATCAGACTGAATGATTATATTTGTTGCCTAGAAAGGAAAAAATATTTTTTGCAACGATTATACCAAAGCATCAAACTGATATGATAGAATAACAGGCAGGTAAATGAATTATATATATATATATATATAAAATTAAATAACTACTCATTTATATCATGCGATATCTACCAATGTGAGATCCACTTATTAATTTATTATTAAACAGGTATACCATGTCAACGTATAATGTAATCGTTACGATGAATATTTTCTCGAAAAAAAGGGCCTTCTCATAGTGTTTACATTATTGGGATGGCATGTGAATATGATCATCCTAAACCACAAAAATATAAAGATGGGTTACATAAAAATCCATCTGTAAGGTGGACTTTGGCTCATTCCATGTCCTTTTGGTAGGTGTTCGATTTGAATTTTGGGGGGTCCCATAAATCCAAATGTACAGCTGAGCACCAAAATTGGTTGAAGAGATGTGATAGGGATGATGTAACTGACCTACCACTTGAGCCTTACAAGTTGTCTATATCAATAGTTACTCCTTTGCTACCGTGAAAGGTTTAAGAATAAATTACATATATTATNCTTGAGCCTTACAAGTTGTCTATATCAATAGTTACTCCTTTGCTACCGTGAAAGGTTTAAGAATAAATTACATATATTATTTCCAAATTATGATACTTGTATGAATTAAGTATTTAAATTTTTTATATCAATTGAACTCTTAAACTCTCTGATTGTGTCAATTAAATCCTTTTACTTATTTCCGTAGAATATGTCA